TTAGCACCTTTTAAAATTTTCTCTATTTCAAGCAGTCTTTTTATTATTAGAGTCTAACTGCTTTAATACTGAAAGCAGATTTATATGTTCTAGAGTGACCTTCTGCCCAAAGGCCATCTTGCAAATATATTACTCTTTAGTTTCTAATTGTCGCAAAAGCTTTTAGTTTTCAGTAAAAATGTGGGTAATATCTGCCACCACTGAACCACTGCTTCACTAAAGGACTGGAAGTGAGGAATGATGTCAGAGAAACCAGAGGCTTTCCTTGGTCAGAAGAGGAAATAAGGACATGGATGGAAGCTGGGAATGCCCTTCTGTTCACTGACACTTCCTAACAAAAAGGTGGCATGTGTTGCCTTTCCCAGTGCTAGCAGGATTCAGTTTTAGTATTTGATTTCCTTCAGATTATGTTCAAAGTGTGACTAATAGGTCTTCTGTATTCATGATCCTTTTAAATGTATTTTCTTTCAGATTGGTTTCTCTTGCTGGTTTGAACGTAAGCAGTTTATGGAGCGCTGTTTATCTAGGCATGTCTTGTTATTAAGTCTCTTTATTAACATGTGTCATGCTACTTAGATGTTCTGATTTAATGGTTAGTGGTTAAATGTATGCTCACACAGCATTGTCATGAGTAAATGTCTATAAACAAATATTTCAAATGGATATTGTAAATTAATTTTTGAATTAATGTGTTCTAAATAAGAAGAAACAGTCAACTGTATAAGGGTGAAAAATCACATTTGAAATAACACTTTGAAATTAAAAATTTACACTATATCATTTTGTGGTCTAGAAAAAGCATTGGAAAGCAGCTCAGTACATGTGGAGGGACAGGTAGGAGGGGAAGAAAATGACTATTTCTGTTGCCACTATTATCTACATGAAAGTAATTTTTTTAACCAGATGAAGTAAATTCAGAAGCCTAAGTGAAGCATCATTAGCTCCACAATGTGCAATATTTATGGATATATCTGGTATCTATTCTCAACATATAGATAAATCAGTTCCTAGTATTTATAAGGGCCTAAATTTTTCAGCACTTTGTAAATACAGTTAAACTTGTTCTAAATGTCCTCTAACATGACAAAAATGAGATACTCTACCAAAAGTGTTTCTTGTACGAAATATTTTTAAAACACTTGGGAGCAGAACTACCATTCTGAGTTTTTCTGCTGTGTGGGAATATTTTCTGTAACTTGTTTTACTGAGATGTTCATGAAGATTGGAAACCACAGAAGTGCAAATAGCTGCTTTAAATGATACACAATGCAATTTTAAGGAAGAATCTGGAGTAGTGAAAGAGAACTGAATGTTATAATAATGGGAAAGCAAAAGAAAGTACAACTCTCTTATTCATTAATTGATCAAGAAAAATTTGTCAAGCTGTGAATATTTCAGCATGTCTGTAATTGTATGCAAAAGTCAGCACATGGAGAGGATGTGCTATTGTGGAGAAATTAGAAACATTTTTCATTATTCTAGTATCTTTGGAAGTAAAAGTGCTAGTACAATAAGTTACCTCAGGACCACTTTATTTCCATTAATGACACAGAAAATACAGTTGAAATTCTTCATGCAACGGAGATCTTTAAAAAGAGAGATTTGAGCTTCTTTGGAAAACTTAAGTAACTGTTTTAGAAAAAGGTGTTCATATTTGAAAAAAAAAATAAGACTGTCTTTTACTATATGTTTCTGAAAATGAACTATTAGGTAATCACAATTCATCAGAAAAACAAACTTCAGTTTTTGTACACAAGCTTCATATTTGGGACAGACTTTTTTCATTTTTATCTCTGTACTCAGAGGCAGATGTAATATTTTGTTATAAGTCACATACACAATAAAGCAGCTGGGTATTCTTACTGTTTTATTTTTTCTCATTGAAGCCCAATTTGAAATTCTGTTTATTTTTAAGCTACTGTCTACAAATAATACATAACCCTATTTTTATCATTCTGTGGTCAGCACAATAGTGACTCACAGAATAGTCACTGTGTCTGATGTTGGTAATGAGCAAACAATGTCCAGAGTAATAAATGTTTGCAGGGACAAGACTCTTGTAACTTGTTTTGGATTTGCAGTACATATTCCATAAGAACTGGTCAGGAGAGCATGTTTTATTTATTTTTTTAGCAAATAATTCTCTTCATTATCAGGACACTTCTAGAGTCAGGAAAAACAAAGCTATAGTAGGAGAGAAGTAATTAAATTTTATCATTGCATAACTGATTGTAAACTTTACCAGTAAAAGGTCTCCAAGAAAACTGAGGGACAATTATACTTTCTACACTTTATTAGTTTTCTAGTTCATCATGTAAGAGATGTTTGTGTATCTGTGTGTGTATCTTGCCCAACACAACCAAATGTTCATAATTTCTGCATTACTATTATACTACTACTAGTAGTATAATCAAAACGTTCCAACTATTTGTCGTAGCTCAGTTTTCCTACACTGCCAGGCATAACATGTAAGGCATGGGGGCATTTCTGCACTTGAGGCATGTATCTTTCATACAAATTTCAAATATCAACCCAACTCTGTGACAAATGTGGCAGCCTTATGGATTTTTACAGGTTGATACCACTGTCTCCAGAATTTTTGTAAATAGTAAAAGGTAATTCTATCTGTGCACATGGTAGATAGAATTTCTTCAGTGAGACTGGCAGTCTTTCAAAACATTTCTATGACAAATAAACACTTGGAGAACCTGCAAATCTGTGCTTCATGGAAGATGGAGACCTGAAGAAACACTGGAAAAATCAGTTGTTTTGAAATTGGAAAACAAATCTGGATTCCTAAATAAAGAGGCGATGATAGCCTGGATGAATAGTGTCACATTAAATAAAGTCAAGAGGATAGTTGTTTGGTTCTTTTTTGAATGGGGTTTTTTTTGAATCTTTGGGTTGTTTTTTTTTCTTTTGTGATGTGTCCTCAGAGGATTCCAATATTCCTCAAAGCAACATCAATTTGTTTGGATATCTGCACCATCCAGCAAGTCATCATCAGTGACCAATGAATGTTCATCAAGAGTTTGCTTTTAATTCCTCTCCTGAGTTTACTGAGCGCAGAGAAGCACACTAAGTTGAAGAAGTGTGTCTGCAATGGCCACTGTGATCCAGCAATTATAAATTCAGCATTTTTTTGTTCTTTTTCTGGCAACATCACTTGCTTTGGTTTTCTCTCATCCAGTTAGGGATACTCTGATTAAATAATGTCCTCTGAAAAAAAATAAATTCCTGACTTAAACTCTTAAAAATTGCCCCATCTCTTACATAATCAAGATTTTGCCAGTCCACTTTCATAAGGAGACAGTTTGAGTCTGTCACTTGTTAAAGCAACTTCAGCTGCCATCTTGCACGTTCAAAGTGTCTTTATTGAGTAATTGTGGTGTATTTTAGAATGAGGTATTCTCAGGAGTTGGTAATTAATGAACTGCACAATAGGTTCTGACTTAGCTCAGATGGGAGACAGCAAGTTAAATCCTTATTCCAGAGAAATAGGGTAGGAACTGAGGTTTGTTGTCTCTTAAACAACTCCTAAAGTCACATGGGAGGGGGTTCACTCGTCATGATGTCAAAAGGCAAGATGAAGTACAGGCAAGAAACCTAACTTTGGTTGCTTTGATTTCTAGTGACTGAACTACGGTTCTTTATTGCTAAAAATACTAGAAGCATGAGAAGTATTCTGGAGTACCAATAGGCAAAATAGTACATTTTAAGGCAGATGTAAAACACTGCTTCCAGATGGGAGAGGTGGGTTCAGATTCTCTCCAGTAAGGAAGATCTAATCTAAGTCACCAAGTCCTAGCTGGCTTTTCCAGTGAGTGTCTGATCTTTTGACAAGTTAAGGTGACTCAAATTGCTGCTTCCTTCTTTAAATGTTTTCTTTCTTTTGCTTTTTCACGTCATCTCTCACTTCAGTATAGCATTCAATTAAATGTTTGTTTACTTTTCCTTTCCACAAATAGTATAAATAAGTACATTGTGAGAGAAATAAAACTGAAGTTATTTTTAATTTTTTTGAGCTTGTCAGCTTTTATGTGCACCCTCTTTTTATAAGCTGACAATTACACTTCTGTTGATGTAAAAATAAGTGCAATTGGATGGGGAAAATAAATCATTTTGACCTTTATATACCTTCCATATGTTAAAAACTTCACAGAATAAAAGCAGGGCTGACAAATTATAAGGAAAAATAATTATGGTATATAAAATAATCTGTTTCCTTATTTTTTATTTTTGGTGGTAGTGAAGAAGGCTTGATAGGGTCTTGTAATTACTTCATTTGTTAAAAGCCATTGTAAATAGTTCTGACTTCGAGAAAAAATGTCAACCTCTTCTTTTGTGTTCTTTCCCTCTGCTTCCATTATCCACTTCAAGGTTTTTACTTTCTCTGCCAGGCAGAGTGCTCAGAATCCAAGGCTGTAAAGCAGGGATGCTTAGCTCTGCTTCTATGGTAGTGGCAATTGCAGCTCTGGGAACCAGCCATTTCTGACATTAATCTCTGTAATGGTTATGCTCAAAATGGCTTGTGTCATCATGTCATCAACTTCATGTCAGAGAGACGTACTTCAAAACAGGTACCAGCGCTGAGCACAGTGGCTTGCAGTGACAAGCAAATAAACAGAAAAATAATATCTTAATATCTCTCTGCTTTCTTTTCTGCTTTTCCATTTCACGATTTTTAGTCAAAATACATGTGTCTCTTACCTTTGACAGGATTGTATACTGCTGTGTAAAATACTACCTGTTAGCAATTTATATCCTTGTGACTCACAGTGGAAACCTTGTTGTGTATCAAAAGAAATGAAACATTATGAAAAAAAAATGGAATATGGTGCTACATTGGGTTTTTCCAAAATATAGATTTTTTTTCTTAGGGTGTTTTTAAAAATGTCTTTGATTTTAAAGCTTGAAAGTTATATTCTTATGTAGCTTTCTGTTGCTTTGGGTTATATATACTACAATAAGTATATATTTATTGTTATATTTCTTCATAGATATTTCATTGATCATAACACAGAAGAAGATAGGTATTTCACCATTGATGCTAGTACTGGGACCATTAAGACTGCCAAGATCTTTGACAGAGAGGAGACACCTTGGTACAACATCACAGTGGCTGCTTCTGAGATAGGTAAATAATATATTTGGCACATAGTATTAAACATAAAACTTAGAAAGGAAAATAATAATTTTCAGATTTTAAGAAACACCATCTTGAGATGTTATGTTCTTTTTAACACCATTGGGTTTTTAGCCAGTCTGGATAAAGGAGAGTTTTCTGTCTGTGTATGTGTGAATACCCTAAATCCACAGAACAAGAAAACAAAATGCCACACATCTATGTGATTCCACCTGTGTAAATTTGCCATGTTTTTCTGTATGTAACAGAAGGCAGCCAGATAACCTAGGAACAGTTTCAAGCATATCGTGTTCTAAAATCAACAGCTTCTCTGGTTTGTGTTTCATAGTTCATATATCTTAGAAGTTAACACTTTATAGTACTGTCTGAGAAATACATCCTTCTTTCTTGTATCTACTATTGAACTGTTTTAGCAAACTGGATGTTAATATGCCTGTGTTAATTTATCAGGGTATACCTCTGGCCTTTTATTAGGCAAATTGCCAGGTAAAGATACAATAAATACTTACCTGTGTATTTGAAAGTCCTCTAATTTTGATGAATTTCCATTGTCTCAGATAAACCCTGCAATAATCAAAAAATGTCTGACTGAGTAGTCCCAGATAAATATTTTTACATGAGGCAAGGACAGTTTAAAGAACATTTCATTTAACCTTTTCATTACAGGGTCTTTATTTTCGCACAGTAAAGTTTTAAAGTTAAAAGACTCAACAAAGAAAATGAAGGAAAAAAATCCTAACCTGAATCAATAGATTCAGCCCTGCTAAGCACTATTCATAATATCATTTTTCCTTTTTATTTTTCTTTGTGTATGTATTCCATCATTTCCATATAACAAAATGCAGGGTTTACTTTTAAGAGGTGCCACTGGTATTTTTGAACATGGTCTTCTTTCATCTGTGCATTTCTGGGTTAAAATGTAATCTGTTCCACCACTAGATCACTAGTATATGCATAGAATAAACAGCATGAACAAATTTTATAAGGACAACAAATTGTTTCTTATTATTGTACCTACTTTCACAACTAAATTGACATTTTGAGCTAAGTACTTTTCTGTAGTAAACAATAAAATCTAGAGTTTTATGGTTAGCTCTTTGAAAAGGTAGTCACTGACACTTCTACGTGCTTATCTGTCTTCATATCTATAATGTGCTATTTCAGTGCAGCATGAAATAAAATATAATTTAAACCTAATTATAAGCAGATGAACAGTAAGTGCTAATTTGAAATAAGATTTGAAAACTACAGTGGGATACTGAAAAAAGGAGTAGTCATGAGTCCTCTTCTGGAAGCCATCAAAATGTAATTATTTTGCAGAAATAAATCTCAATAGCATAAAACCTAAATGGAGCTTCCTACACATTATTTATTTCGCATAATCAAAAGACTGGTGTTACATGTATCATGCTGAGAGAATAGTATGGAGAAATGAGGATTATGTTTATAACTAATATAGAATGGAATAAATAATAAGGATGATATGTCTTTTTTTAAAGACATTTAGAATTCTCTGTTCCAGGTGCAACTTCTTACAGGAAAATATAGATCTGTTTTTTTCTCACTTGCATTGCCTTTGTTATTGATAAAGTTGGAGCTGGAAAAATAAGTAAATCTATGATGTCAGTTGGAAAAACAATTCAGCTATGAAGAAAGGAAGAGATAGTAGTGAAGAAGAGATGGATGAGAGACAGACTGACATAACAGGCTGTTGTGTCTGCTTCTTCAACCATTTTCTTATTTGCAGTAATTTGAAAATTACAACACTGTTGTACTCTTCCAAATCCATTGTGAAATTAGTAATTGAATCCATGGTGGAGCAAGAAGCATATGTTTTGTATGGCGCATCAATGCCAAAGCTCTTAAGTGCTGTCTATCCCATATTTACAATCTTTTATGGCATTTGCTTTAAAGTCCATGCACAAGGTATTGCAGAACTAAGCTTAAAGCTGAAAAATAGGCCAAAGGCTATGACCAAAGTGTTATTTAGCTGTGGCAGTGGGAGTCTTCAAGTTTATCTGTCATGGTAGAAGGCGTTGGTAGCTTCTGACACCATCTGCTTAGCCAGGAACATAGCAGAACCTGCAAGGCCCAGAAAGATTGTACTGCTTCAACAAGAGATCCTCTGCAGAAATAAAGCATTGGTTGTAGTTAGTTTCTTGAAGTATTTTCCTCTCTTGATTTTGTGCTACATTTCACTGATAGAATTCAGTTTCTACCTATCATTAGAATCAGCATCATATTTCTACCCTCAAATGTATGATATCCTCATGCTACTCTTTCTGAACCTTCCATAAGACATTTATTTTCACTTTTCATCTTAGTATGTGATATACACTCTACATTGGTCAAGTGTCCTCTGAAATCAGTGGAAGTTCTACCACTTTCCTCTGTGGGAGTAATGCTGATACAATAATCAATGATTTTTTTCTGTTTATGCTGCTACTTCTTAAGGCACACCAGAGTTCCTTACTATAAGAATGGATGGGCAATCCTTTTTTTCTTTAACATGCATTGTTCTTAAACCGCAGTATACAGTGAGGAAGAGTGGGATTTTGGTGTCCAGAAGCTCTTGCTTTGATTGTTTCAGTACTGGTACTTCCTGTAATCTACTTATGGTATTAGAGAATAAGATGATTAAGGAATACTGTATTTTTATTGTAAGATCTACAGACTATGTCTGGGGCAGGGGGAGGGAGTAGTAATAGTAGTAGTACTTTAAAATACAGTTTCACATAGAATTATTCACTGGCTTTTCATTGTCTTTTTAGAATTCTTTGGAAAAAATTATGTAAGTCTATTTGAAAGAGGGAGGAGAGAGAATTTCCTTGGCTGTAGTAAAGGTTTTTGAACAAGTCTTTGACAAGAGTAATGAAAATAGGAAAATAGATGAAAGACTTGTCAGATGCAATACAATCATAGTAAATGGCTGTCCCTTTGGAAGTGGAAGAAGTTAAGGCTGAGCTATTTTAGGGATTGGTGTAGGATTTGTCAATTAGAACTCTTTGTGATGATGTCACTAATGATAGAAAGTGATTCAAATTCCAAAATAACCTCCCTAGATGCTAAGAATTAAGGAAGATGGAGAGAGATTCTTGTAAGAATCGTAGAAGTGTAGGCTAGATAAATGAAGGGCAACATGGATTGAAAATTGTCTGAAATGGCAGGTTCAAAGGGCTGTGACCAGCAGCCGAAGGCCAGTCACTAGGAATTACTCCCAGTGTCTGATACAGGATACAATACTGGTTTATCTCTTCATTAATGACCTCGTTGGTGGAACAGAGTGCACTCTCAACCAGTTTGCATATGACGCTGTTGCCTTAAGAGACCACAGAAAAAAAACTTTCCAGGCCAATTTAGTGTATAAGACAAAGAGAGTAGGTTCTTTAATCAGCCTACAGGCCGGGGGAATACACATGATGCGCACCCACCCAATCAAGTGGTTCTATGATTCTATAATAAGGTCCATTCAATCCCAGATTTATCCACCCTGCGGTTCTGCCCAGTTCTGCCCCCTGACACGCCCCTTAGGGAATTGGGTTTGGGGTCTTTGGGACCCCTTCTTCCTCATCTTCTTCGCAACACGTATAGTCCTTGGAGCTCCTCCAAAGTTCTGGGCTTGAAGGTAGCTGTGTCTATGTGATACCTTCTGATCCAGGCTTTTCTACACTTCTACCTTGAAAAGAAGACTAAACTCACTAATAGAATTTAGAGGGATTGATATGAAATGAGATAATAGGATTGGGTATGTGTAAACATTATGCTAGAGCATAAGTGATATAATACAGCTACATTAAAATCTACATTTACTATTCAACTACTTCTAAAATCTACAAAAGTTAAAAAATCCAAAAAGCTCTGAGACATCAACAAAACTGGAGTAATACCTGATTCACCAGTCCGTTGTGGTGCCAACCAGAAGGATCTCAACAGGCTGGAGAAATGGGTGAACAGGAAATCTCGTGAAGTTTAATAACAGGAAATGCAAAGTCCAGCATCTGGAGAGGAATAATCCTGTGCACCAGTCCGCATGCAGTGCCAACTCTCTGTAGAACAGCTTTTGAAAGAAGGGTGTGGAGGTCCTGGTGAATGAAGGCTGAACATGAGCCAGCAATATGCCCTTGCGACAGAAAAGGCCAATGGCATTCTGCACTGTGTGAGAAAGAGTGTTGTCAGCAGGTTGAGAGAGGTGATCTTTCCCCTCTGCACAGCACTGATGAGACCACGTGTGGAATGCTGGGTCCAGATCTGGGCTCCCCAGTACAAAACAGACATGGATATACTGCACTATGTCCAGTGAAGGGGCATGAAATCATTAAAGACTGGACTATCTCTCATAAAAGGAGAGGCTGAAAAAGCTGGGACTGTTCATCCTGGAGATGCGAAGGCTCAGAAGGATCTTATAAGTGTGTTTAAATAACTATTAATCAATATGAGGAAAGACTTATCTGAGTAGTATCCAGTGAAATGACAGGAGGCAATAAATTGAAGTACAGAAAATTCCATTTAAATTAATAAGAAAAATGGTTTTACTGTGGAATTGGTCAGAAATTGGGACAGATCACCTACAGACCTTGTGGATTCTACGCTCTTGGAGATATTCAAAACCCAACTGGACGTAGCTCAGAACAATGTACACTAGTTGATTCGGCTTTGAGCAGAGGACTTGAACTTGCTGATCTATGGAGGTGCCTTCCAAATCCAACAATTCTATGACTTTCTGATATTGGGAACTGTGTTTTGAATGTGGAAAAGACAACAAATTGTGATGTATTCTCAAAGAAAACAGGTGATTTTAAAAATAATTTTAGGTGATTCCATTAAGGTTTCTTTCAAGCATATATTAGTGCTGATAACAAAAGCAAAAGCAACAATAGCAGCAAAACCCCAAATCACAGCAATTGCAAGAGAAAGGGGCAGTGAATGCAAATGGATGGACTTTAGCCAGTTCCAAAGCCAATTTCAATTAAAAAAATAAACATGTACTTCAA